AAAACTACCTAGAAAACATAATTACTACCAAAGAGGGCTGCTCCAATTTTCATTTTGAGGAATGTTTGTGAAGAAGCCGTAGCTTGGTCTGAGGTTGTCAGGCTACAACCCAAGAACTGGAGCTGCTTTGTGGTGTCTTGTGTTTGCTTGTCAGAGAAAAACCATGGTGTGCTCATCTGCCTGGATCGGAAACTTTTGACAAAAGTTATACAGCCCACACTTTCTTCCTGACAAGAAGCTCGTTTTCACACATTAACTGCTGAAGGTGTGAAAATGGTCATTCTGAGCCCTCTGAGATTTTTTTTAAAAAATCAATGTGGTGAAAGAGGCAGCAGAAGAAGACTTATGGCAGGAGAGCAGTAGAAGCTGTAACCCACCTCCGTTGGATCACTTGAAGAGGAACTGACAGCCTTCCCAATACAGGAAGCATTAGAGGAAAAAATAAGACTGGTGGGAAAATCCTTATGATCTGAGACAGCATCGGCTAAGGAGTCTCTCCTTTCCCTTTTTGCAGTCTCTGTTAAACAGCCAGAGCAAATAAAGGGCTGACTGGAAAATGGTGCTGATGTTTAGGATGGGCATAGAGAGTGGCATAAAGAGAGAAAGAGTTTCTCACTGATGTTTGGAATGGCTGTTACGAATGTGCATACAGTAGCTAATGTATATATTCTTCAGTATAGTGGATATATTCTAATTGCAATTTCTGATTGAAAATGCTCAGGTTTTTATTCTAGTGACTCACTGTGTGGTTTTGATTCTCCAAATTAAAGAGTGGCTCAGTTCTTGACAGGGCATTCTTAACTAAGGCTCCAATCACACCACCGAGGAAATGAGGGCGGGAAGCGAGGCTGTTTGCCCCGGGGTGAACTGATGGTCGCTTGCCCGATCAGACTTCCGCCCGCCTGCCCCACAGTTCCAGATACTACTAACCTTTCCCCAGTGGCTTTTTGCAACGCTCCTGCGGGACGCTTGACAGATGTGTCTGTCTGATCACATCCCTTTAATCCGCGGGGAATCGTATGTCTGCCGCAGCTTCAGGTACGTATGATGGCAGCCTAATACTGTCAATGTACCTGCCAAACAGAATAATCCAGATGAACATTTTCTGTGTCACTTTCTGCCAAGCATTGCACTTCCAGAGTGATTCCCTGCTTCTCCATTTTATCCTCACACCAATTCTGTGAGTGAGGTAAGGTAGGTGTGTGTGTGTGTTTGTGTGTGTGTGTGTGTGAGAGAGAGAGAGAGAGAGAGAGAGAATTCCAAGGTCACTGAATGAGATTCTGGATGGAAGGTGAATTTGAACCCAGCTGTAGTCCAACATTCTGTCAACTGCACTGCATTAGCCTCCACTTGGGGAAAGGGAGTGCATATCATCATTGAGTACTGTTTTGCATCAGGAGCCCAAACATATCATGTGACACATACACCTGGCAACATCATTAGCTATGAGCACCACTTGTTACTTTAGAAAGGACTAATTGGTTAAATAGGGAAATGGGGTTTTTTGAGAGATATTGCAAGAGCAGGTAAATTATCAAAGAATGTGATGGAAAAGAAACCAAGAGTGCTTGCCCCACTAATTGTGGAAATGTAGAGCAAAAATGAACTCAGATATAAAACAAACTCAGCTTGTATCAGTTCTTAAATTCTGTGATCACACTGAGAGTCTCCAACCTAAAACATGGCCCTCATTTTTCATTTTTTTAAAAACTATGTATGTCCATCTTTCTGATTTCTCTCTAGGTCAAGAAGATATTGTGAAAGAATAGGCACCTGTACCTTTCAAGAATTGCACAGGGGATAAAATTTTGGTAGATGCAGATTGTCATGTAAGAACTGGGGGAACAGGAAAAGGAAAAAAAATCAGAGATGCTAAAAAAATTTCTTATGTAAAGGTACAAGAAGCCTGTTCTTATTTGTGTCCTCCGTTTCTGTCTCATGTTTAAAAAATAACTTTTTGAACAAAAAGAAAAGAAAATGGTGCTGATGCCACTGCTGTGACCCAATTTAAGTTTAGTGGTGACCTGCCAGGTGGTCTAATGCCTGAGTGGTACTGTTGCCTTGTTTGAAATGCAAGGTGGGAGGAGCTTATGATCTGATTACTCCACACAGCAATGCCACCTCTTGTTGGGAGCTGATGCTTTCCCCAGGGAGTAGCCATGTTTTATAATTATCCCAGATGGTCTCCACATTTCAGTCATCATAGCAGCATGAGACACAACCACAAAGAAGGAGCACATACACTGCTGTACCCAAAGTAGCATCTTCCATACATTAAACCATAACCATTTATTTATTTATTTTAAAAGCTCCAATCCCTCTCTCTGTAAAACAAACTATATACCCATATCTATCTTACTGGGTCATCATCCCAATCCTAATGTGCCACAGAAAGAGATGGACATGGTCCTCTGTTATATTATAGACCTAGTCGAGTGAAACTAAGATGGACCAACAAGGGAAGACTACCTGCACCTTTTCCCCTTTCAGGGTTACTAGCCATTATGAGAGGGGTTCCTAATATATATCAGATTCTATGAAAGAAAGTCTATGCACTAGCCCTTCACAACAGACCAAATCCGGCAGAGTAAATCCACCTCATTTCTTTCTAAATGTCATATGAAGTGAATGGACGGCTTCTGTCATATTCCATTCAATGGGAATACCAGGGAGCTGCACCTAGAGCCCAACTATGCAACATTGTGGACATTGACACACCGGTTGGCTTCAGGAGGCTTAGAAGGGTGATCATACGAAATTAACGAGGCTCTGGTCTCCGGTACTGAATTATATGACGAAACATGAGATATTGCCCACAAACCATTATTACCATAGGTGGTTGTTCCTATAAAGCACTAGTTACCCGTATTATTTGTATAGGGAAGTTAATACTTACCCATGATAGGGTCCTTAATATTGTCCGAGGGTGCAAAAGTTAGAGGTTGTCACGAGATGAAATAAGTCAAAATTAGCTAATTAAGTTCACCAAGTTGCAGGATAAGGTTTTTTTCTGGTCCTTAGTCTACCCAGTACGCACAATGGTTATAATTTGTACGTCTATATAAGATAACTTGTATTGTATATGTTTCAGTTTTTCTCTCCATCTGGATTAATTTGTAATGTTATGAATAAGAATAAAAAATAAATTAAAAAAAGAAGAAGAAGGGTGTACATCTGTTTAGGATTGCACAGCAAAGGTCACATACAATTAGTGAGCTTCTGTATGGCAGCATTATAGTAAAAGCTTATGGGAGCCCCCTTAGTACCAGAGGGAAAATGTTCCTCTGTAGCATGTAAACCATGGATAGGCAAAGTTTACTTAGCCTCGTCTGCATAATTATTTGCTGATGCTAAGAGTGTTTTAAACTGAGTTTTCAGTCAACTGTCCACAAGTTCAGAGGAACCTGTGGGGAAAGGGCAGTTGGAATCCCATCTGACATCTTCACTACCAGTCTCTAGGCATATGTCTGAAGGTATACCCCTACATGCATAGGATCTATATGTGCAATCCATAATTCTGCAAAATTCAGTTTCCCTGCTAGTGAAGTCTTCATTTAGAGAGTGTCAGTTGAACATGGGGAGGGGCCAGCGGGCATGTTTTTTCTTTGTTTTTAGCATACGTATAATTCTCATGTGAACAAGGCTTATAATTTCAAAGTATCTAGACTACCATTGCAGTGTTTTTTAAAGTAGGGTTGAAGATACAACTGATTAGTGAAAATAAATATACAAAAAGCTTGAGAAAAAATGTGTACATTATTCTGTGCTAGGCACATGATATTTCCTTAGATCAGTGGTATAGCATTAAGCAAGGCTCTGGTCTCTTAAATAACTTTTGGTTTACTGGCTACAAATATTCTAACTCTTACGTGCCAATCATTAGTATAAGGAAGAGCTGTTTACTTACTCAGAGTTCAAGTGCTGCTCTGAGAGATGATATGAGAAATCAATGTTTTCTAAAATTTCTTTGTGAGATCTAGCATGTGAATACCCTGCAGAAAGACTAAAAACAAGCAGATGGACAGAGTGATTCTTGCACAGGGGCTAATACACTCTCTTTTTCCCTCTCGCAAAATAAGCACAGAGGAAATATATCAGGAGAAGATGTAAACATAGTCTTGATCTACCATCAATCATGTTCACAACATATGCTTGTATTTAAACCAAATAATTGCTGTGTTAAATGGAAAGAACAGCTTGCTGGAACCACAGCACTGGAATATGCAGCATACACTTAGTGATGGCAAATTATATGCACAGTCGAGTCCGACTCTTTGCGACCCCATGGCCCAGCTCCCTCCAGGCCTTCCGGTCTTCCGCCATCCTCTGAAGTTTGCTCAACTTCATGTTCGTTGCATCGATGACACTGTCTAACCATCTCATCCTTTGCCGTCCCCGTCTTCTTTGACCTTCAATCTTTCCCAGCATCAGGGTCTTCTCCAGTGAGTGCTCCCTTCTCATTTGGTGGCCAAAGTATTTTAGCTTCAGTTTCATTATCTGGCCTTCCAGGGAACAGTCAGGGTTGATTTCTTTGAGGATTGACTGATTTGTTCTTCTTGCAGTCCAAGGGACTCTCAAGAGTCTTCTCCAGCACCATAGTTCAAAAGAATCTATTCTTCTGCGCTCGGCCTTCCTTATAGTCCAACTCTCGCAGCCATACATGACTACTGGGAATACCATTGCTTTGACCATGAGGACTTTTGTTGGCAGGGTGATGTCTCTACTTTTTATCATGCTGTTTAGGTTCGCCATCGCTTTCCTCCCAAGGAGCAGGCGTCTTTTAATTTCATGACTGCTGTCACAGTCTGCGGTGATCTGGGATCCCAGGAACGTGAAGTCTGTCACTACTTCTTGTTTGAAATCACTAAGCATACACTTAGTGATGGCAAATTATATAAATTATTAGCAATCTAAATAATACTGTGTATACAATACTTGTCAACAAAAGCAATGATAATTCCTGCCCAGTTAGTTTTTAAAGAATTAAAGGATTAAGTTACCTGCTTATTCACCCACATCTGATGACTTGAAGTTTTCTTCCTCAAATAAATTCATTATTTCCTTCCAGAGTCTGTCTGAACGCCAGCTGCACGTTATATTGCAACACCCGCTTCCTTTCAACGGTTCATGTTCTAGGTGGAGGTCACACCATTACATTTCCTACAGAGATTTAAGGATTTCCTTTTCCCCTGGCACGTTGCGTTTCAACTGCTATGTAGTTTGCTTTTATTATGTTATTATTGAGTTATGATAAACAGTTTTTGAGACATATATTTGGAAAGTGATGCCTGTTTCAATGTGAAAAGATCCTATTTGGTACAAAGCATTTTGCTTTGGTTGTAAAGCTAATCAGGCTTGGAAATCCAGGGGAAATGTGAGATTCTTTGTGGAGTTAGAATTATGAAAGCCTAGAATCCAGACATTCTGAGCAATTCAGGTACAATCTAGAAAACTATAAATACAAAATTACATGGTAAACAACATGATCTTGTCAGATTTTAGTTTATTCACTTTATTTACTTACTTGGGGACTCAAAGCAGCTTTTAGCATTCTTTTCTCTTCCATTTTATTAAAGCAACCCTGTGAGGAAGCTTAGGCTGAAGGTCTGTGCCCGGCCCAATATTCCCCTGCAAGCTTCCATGGCAGAGTGGGGGTTCAAGCTTGGTCTCCCAGATTGTAGTCTGACACTCTAACCACTGCTCCATGCTGGCTATCCTGATCTTATCAGAGATCTAAAATGGTCTAGTGCAGGGCCCCCCAATGTGGTGCTGGTGGTTGCGATGGCACCTGCTGACAAATTCTCTGGTGCCCACCAAGTGTTTCTAGGATGTGGTAGGGTTTCAATCTCCACTCTGCCATGGAAGCCCACTGGGTGACCTTGGGCCAGTCACAGAGTCTCAGCCTAACCTACCACTTAGGGTTGTTGTTTTGTAATCTGTTTTGGTTCCTATGGGGGGGATATGATATATGTACAAGGGTGGGAGGGAGGCCCTAATCTGGATAGCCAAGGCAAGCCTGATCTCATCATATCTCAGAAGCTAAGCAGGGCCGACTCTGGCAAGTACTTGGAAGGGTGACATCCAAGGAATACCAGGGCTGGGGATGCAAAGGCAGGTTATCAAGCCACCTCTCTGAAATGTCCAAGCCCCACTAGGGGTTTCCAGAAGTCACCATGACTTCCAAGCTCATAAGCACACACATACACACAAAATAGAAAGAAAGAGAGAGAAATCCTGTTTGCTATGAAGTAAGTAAATGTGTATAGGATTGTAGCTGGGCATCCTGATCCAATCATTCTACTATTCTGGACAGCTACTTGCACTAGCATAATGGCAGTGTATTGGGATGCTATGAGAGCCAGTTTGGTGTAGTGGTTAGGAGTGTGAACTCTAATCTGGGAGAAGTGGGTTTGATTCCTGTCAGGTCTTGGGTCCAAGTACTCTCTCAACACTCTCATCAATGTTCCCTCTATGCGGTGGAGTCTTGTGAGCAAAAATTCTACTTTGTGAGCTACTGGCATTAAAGTTGTGAGTGAGCGATTTGGTTACTGCATAAATCAATTTGCTCTGGAGCCATCCTTCCTGAGCCAAGACAAAAATGTGTGAGCTGGAGGCTAAAAAACTGTGATCTAGCTCACACTAACTCAGCTTAGAGGGAACACTGTTTCATGGTAGCAAGATTTGTTTATTGAGAGTTATAAGTCATCCCCTGCTCAAATGGAATGATATCCCACTATCTCTCATGGGCAGAATAGCACTGGTCAAAATGAATGTATTACCAAGGTTTTTGTTCTTAGCGCAAAGTATACCAGTGCTTAAAAAACAGACCTTTTTTGAAGACCTGAATAAAATTACCAGGCAATTCATTTGGCAACATAAGAAACCTAGAATAAAATGGAAGGTGCTCCAAGATAGGAAGGAAAGAGGAGGAATGAGTGTTCCCAATTGGTATATTTACTATCAAGCGGCCGCCCTAGTATGGATAAAAGAATGCATAACTTTGGAAAATACAAGACTCTTGTCATAGAAGGACATGACCTCTATATGGGAGCGGTGGCGCAGGCGGTAAGTGAAGCCTGCATTGACATCTGGCCGAACAGCTCCGGCTGTTCGAACCCCACCGCGGCCGGGGTGAGCACCCAGCCCTATGTCCCAGCTCCCACCCACCCAGCGGCTCGAAAGCCCGTTAAAGGGCAAATAGACAAATGGGTACCTGCTCTTAGAGCGGGGGGCACCCGTCCCTTGTGGTGTAGCGGTGGCGTGAACGGTGAGCAGCGGCGGAGAAACATGGTGGCGGCTGGCGAGGCAAAGCGAGTGAGAGGAGGCTGGGCTGGCAAAAGCACGGAGGCGGGGCGACGCAGCAGGCCGGAGCCTACTGGACAGAGGCCGGCAGCGAACATGTGCGGATGTGCGCTCGGTCCAAGCCTGAAGGAGTCGCAACAGGGTGAGCGGTATACAAATGGAATGTAATAATAATAATAATAATATGGGGTGGCACGCTTATGTATGGTACGGGAAAGATAAGATACACTCGAACTTTGGTAGACATACATTAAGAGGATCCCTAAATAAAATATGGAGCAAGATAAAAGGATTCTGTTATAGGAAAACTCCAAGATGGGTAGCCCCGTTAGAAGCCTTTCCTAAACCATCAGTATTAACAATGAATTTGAAAGAAAGCTACCAAACATTACTAAATAAAAATAACAAATTAAAAACAGAAGAAAAACTATGACAAGAAAACAATTTGTCATGGTGGGAGTAGATAACATCACGAGATAGGTATAAGAAAGACATGATAAGAGGCTTCGAGGACCAAAATAATGAACTTGACAAAATATGGTTGTCCTCAAATGATAAACTAGTCCAGAAGTTGTACATGTTTTTGCTAAACGACTTTATGCAGGATGAAGAAATTAAATCTGTAATGATCACATGGATGAAAGATATAGGGGAAATAGGAGAAGAAAATTGGACCAATATGTGGAAAACGGTCAAATTTATGAGAGCGGTAGCATAAAAAGAAAACGTATACAAGATGTTTCATAGATGGCACTGGGCTCCCGATAAGTTAGCCAAATGTTATAAGGGGTATTCTAATCTGTGCTGGAAATGTAAAACGTGTAAGGGGACTTTCTATCATATGTGGTGGGAGTGCAGTAAGATCCAAGGTTTCTGGAGAATGGTCAGGAAAGTAATTCAAGAAAGTCTGGGGGGAAATGTAGCATTAAAACCTGAAATATATTTATTAAATATGATCCCGAAAGGGTATAACAAACAGGATGCATGTTGGCAGAAAAATGTGGATGGCTACACGTGTCTGTAAAAGCGTGTTTACCCATGTCACCCACACTCTCCCCCCTCAGTTCGTGTGTGTCCTGTGTGTTGCCTCCTCACCAAAGGCAGAAGTGTAAGCTTGGAAATCACTAAGGCTCTGGCAGAGACATTCAAAGGTCTCTTCTTAAAATAAAACTTATCTTTATTATAGAAAAACATTCAGAGATTTGTCTTGCAAGATGACCGCAAGACGCTATGCCAGCCTGCCACTCAGTAGAATCCTATTTCCTAAACATTGATAGAATACACAGAAAAATAAACATGCAGCAAAGTTTCCCCCACCCCATGCATGCACGGACGAGAGGCCTCTCTGACTGACTCCTAACAGGAGTCAGCAGGGGTCTGTTTTAACTGACCAGTATTTATACCAAAGATCAAAGGGGTCCCTTGATAATCATATTACAGTTACCATTTACAAGTGGAAATTGCCTACTGTAAATTGTTTCATAGAAGTTGAAATTGTCTTGCAGGAAATTTGTTTCCTTTCCTTGGTCTCACACAACAAAAGTGTACACATTTTACAGGATCAATACAGTGTCATTGTTTCTTCCAGGTGTTCCCCAATATGGGAAGTAAACTGTCCTTTTGATGTTAACTCTGAGATGTGTGAACTCTCTGTATCTCAGGAAGGTATCTTGTGGATTGAAGTCTGCCAATTTCCCAAATGGCCACACATTTTATTGCCTAGGAAATTGGGGTCTGTCACTTCCCAAACTGGCTTTAAGTCTTGCACCTGGGGCTGGGCATGGAATGTTGTAAGCTGTTGAGTCCACTGAGAGGAATGCTCCATTTTAGAGCAAAGAGCTTGCAAAGAATTATGGGGTTTGATTCAAACAGGCCAAGGCTGTCTGCTAGCAAGGGCAAAGACAGGAACAGGTACATGGATTTTATGGACTATTTGGTTCATTTTAAACCAAAACCACCTATATTTCTAAATTTTCTTACCACAATGCATATATGTTAAGATGTTATAACAGCTGCCAGATTGTTAGTAGCCCGAAAGTGGAAAGCAGAAGTATTACCGACAAGAGAAGAATTGATAGATAAGATACTGGAACTAGCCAGAATGGATGATTTAAGCTTAATGTTACAGAATAAGAACGAAAAGGTACATGAAAGGAGATGGGGAAAAGTGTATAAGTGGATAGAAAAACAGTCAGAAAATTAACATCCCCAATTGGTACAAAAAAGTAAGAGAGGAAAGACTCTGATATGTATGTAAACGAAATAGATGAAATGTACATGTATATACTTATAAATAAAAGAAAATTTACTTCAAAAAAAAAAGAGTTACAAGTCATCCAAGCATATGCAGAGTTTATGTTGGAACTGTAAGCCCCAGGTTAGGGCAAGAGCTATATGGAGTGTGGGACCACCACTGATTCCCCCAAGTGCCCATTCATCAATCGCCATACAGCTTGCCAAAGCTTCAAGCTCAATCCCATAGCTGCCTCCAGCACCTGCAAACTAACCATTACATTATCTATGCTACAAGGTCATGCCGAGTAGGCCAGCGAAGCAGAGATTCACACACACACTCACTCCCAAAGAATGCACACAAATGAAAGCAGCGAGGGGGAAAATCAGAGAGGAAGAAGGAGTTAACCGTTGATGTAACAGAACAATGTCAGTGGAAAACAATACATGACAAGTGAGGCACAAGCTTGACAATTCCCCACTCCTCCACATGCAGCTGCTGGTGTGACCTTGGGTCAGTTACAAGTTCTTTTAGAGCTGTTCT